AGGCTCTTGCCCCTCCATCAGCAGTTCCAAGTGGGGCCCTTCTTGGGCCGACAGGCTCACGGCAAACGCCCCTCTTCAAACCGCGATGTGGCTGAGGGATGGGTGAGGCGGGAAGGGCCAGTGCTGCTAAGCCGGCTGCCTGCAATGTCCCTTCTGGCCACCCGGCATTCGGGGCTTCTGGTCCAGATGGTACCCAGCTTTTATCGGGAGCTTGGGGAGGGCACGTGCCCTGCACATGGCAAATCCTGGAGAGGGGGATGAAGGCACGAAATCCCTGCTGGCTCAGGAGATTCTGGGAATCGCAGGGGCACGAGAGACCCACGCAGACCCCTTAACTGCGCAGAGCGTCTCTGGCATTCCCGCAGCCCTGTTCCAAACCCAGTGTTGGCTTTAGTTCCATCCACTTCCCGGCACCTACAGTGGCGAACCGGAAGAGCACGACGGCTCCAAGGGGGGTGCGGGAGTGGCACCAAAAAGAGGACCTGGTCCTCCCCTCCTGGTCTCCGGCACGGGCCTACCGAAAAGACTCCCCCGAGGGATGCTGGGGACTACTCGGTGAACAGGAAGCAGGAAGACGCTATACCACCAAGGAGAACGTTTCTGGAACAAAAGACCTGTACGTTCCGGCCCTCCGAGAACTTCAAAAAATCCACCGCCTGAGAACGCCAAACACACATGCACACACACCCCTAGCTGCTTCCACCAGACACAGCGCCGCGGGAAGTCTCGCTTAAAGAGGGCCCTTGAGAATTCGCCGTGGCAGTGGCACCGATGCCTTTTAAGGGTCTCAACGCCAAGAACCCAAGATGGGCCTCCTCTGCACCCCCACGACCCCCAGCACTCTCACCACAAAGCTGAGATGCTGAAGTCGGTCTTGTGCGCACACGGGCCAATGAGAATCACGCTAACGTCCTGGGCTGTAGCTCAACACTCACAACCATGCCACGCGCCTGTGCACGTTCCCCCGGTTTTACAGTTGGGGTGAACGAAGCTCGTTTCATCACCTGCCGGGGGCACCAAGCTGGTCAGCTGAGCCCGGCAGTCTGGCCCTGGTGCCTGCACTTGGAACCACTAGGGGTGTCACATCAGGGCAGGGGGACACGTGGGACGAGGTCTCCAGTGCGGCTCCAGATGGGGGCCGCCGGGCACTCCCAGCTCCCCGAGCTCGATCCAGGCCTCCCTTATCGGCTCGGTGCCCAAGGCCTGACCGTGGGCAGCAGTCACCCTCCCCGGGGGTCTCTCCCCGCCTCCCGCCGCCCCCTGGAGCGGGCCACCCCGCTCTCTCCACCCCATACCGGAGAGGGCCAGCAAGGACGGGAACTCCCGGCAGCTGTAGACTCCCAGGGAGTCGGTGGCACAGCTAAACCAGAGGTTCTCGAAGATGGTGTTGGTGGTGATGACGCTCCCGTGCACGGTGGACACTCGCCAGTAGCTGTGTGGCAGGGTCACCCCCAGCATCAGCAGCCCCAGGGCCGCCATGAAGAAGCCGAAGATCTCCACGGCCACCGACATGGTGAGATGCAGGGCCCTGAGGGGCGCCTGGGGCCCCAGAGGAGGGGAGGGGCTGAGCCCCAAGGGAACTTGAGGGGCTTTGGCTAAGGAGGGGTGTTAAGGCAGGCTGGAGAGAAAGGTGGAGAGAGCAGGGGGGGCCAGCAGCAACCTGGGGTGCAGATCTGCCCCCACCCACCCCCGGCTTCTGCCCCCTGCCCTCCCTCTGGGTTCCTGCTTCCCCGAAGGTCCGGGCAGAGGAATGAGCCCAGAGCGCCGGGCAGCTGTTGACGCGGAGATGGAGGGAAGCAACGGAACACGGGCCAAAAGTCCACCCCCTCCCCCAGCCTCTGGGCTCCCCGCCCCACAAGGGGGGCGGAGAGGACTAATGGGAGTGACCAACGAACTGATGGGGCTGAGGGGGGCCCCCACGGGAGGCACTGGAAGCAGAGGAGAAGCAGGGAAGTCGCTCTGACTCAGCTCTCATCCGGGGGGGCCGGAGAATGGAGCCAGGACAAGGAAAGAGAAGGTGACTGAGAGACCAGGGCCACAGACAGACCTTTCGCGGGGCAGGATCCGGGGAGCGGAGCCCCCCTCCTGGATGTTGGTGAGAACAATTTAAGAAACTCCAAAGACTTAGGGTTCGGGCTACTGAGTCACTGAAGAAGATTAAGGTTGAGTAAGGCATCAGGGCGTCTGGGCGGAACCCGCAGTTCTGGAGTCCAGTCAACCTGGATTCAAACCAGACCCACCATCTACCAGAGCCACAAGGGCCTGGAGTCTGAGCCCCTCGGGCTTGTTCCTGCTTCTGTGAACTAGAACTGGCTCCTTCACCACTGTGACCCCAGATCAAAAGCTCCCTGCACGTGGGAACTGCTCCATCCTCGGGGACCACTCTGGCTCCGGGTGCCGCGGGCACAGGGTGAGGCCACCAGTGGGTTGCTTCCCTCCAAACTTCAACTTCTTGAACTTGAATTTCCCCCCTCGTCGGGTTGATCTTTGACTCTCGGCAACAAGCTTGATCTCGCTGCCAAGGGCCACCAAGGGGGATAAATCACAGGCCCAGAACGTGATCCTGTGGCTAATCTAAGCAGCTCAGTTATCAGAACTGTCACCAGCTCTATTAATTATGATGGGTTAGAAACCGCCGGGCCCCAACCCCAAGCCGAGGCTGAGCACCTGTCCTGGTGCAGACAGTATCATTTCCTGCCTCAAGGCCACAGCCAGGGCAGCTCTGGTTCTCCTCTGGCAAGCGCAGTAGGGGCTTGGTCTCCAGGGGTAGGGAGGAACCCATGCTACCCCCCAGGCAGTCACAGGGGACATCAAGGAGCCGAAGGGTATCCCATCACCCCCCTCCCCATGTCGGGCTCCTCTGTGCTCCCCTCAGGTGCCTCCGCCCCAACCCCCCCCCCCCCACAAGCCAGGCTGGCTTGGCTGTGGAACGAGAGGTATGCGGTGAAGCAAGACAGGCCCACGCTGAGCCTGGCACCAGTGGTGTGGCGGAAGGCAAGCTGGGTGGGGACTGGGTCCTGACCTTCCATCTTGGAGCCTATGACTGGGATGCTGTCTGGCTTGCAACCTTCAAGAACCTGGAGAGTCTCATGGCTCCATGCCTGCCCCTGGCAAGTTCTCCAGGAGAGGATGGGGAGGAGGGGGGCGCAGGAAGACAAAGGGAGAGAAGGGTGGAGGTTTGGGAGGAAACCGAGTGGGGGCCCCCCCTGGTGTGGAAAACTCCACGTGCTAAGAGGCAGCTGTGTGGGGTCAGACAGGAGACATAGAATCTGCCGTGCCTCAGGCTCTTTCCTTCCCTTCCGCCTCCATCACTAAAGCCCCCAGGATTCCAGCATCAGGTAAAAGGCCACGTCCCGTGTCCCTGTGTCCCCATGCTGCCCACCACTGCTTTGGGGGAGGGAAGGAAGGAAGGGTGTGGGGCTCTGGGCAGCTTGGCGGACAAAGGCAGCCCTGCACGCTGGGGCGGGTAGGAGTAGGAAGGCGAGCAGGAAGGACCACGGGTGACCCCACCTTGAGCCCAGTGAGCCGGCCTTCTTTTCCACACAGATGATCGGCGTGTCAGTAAAAGCCCAGTTTTATTTACACTGCAACCTCGAGCACGGGTTTGGGGGCTACTGGACAGTTCTGGGGAGAGGAGGCCGAAGGCAGAGGGCAGATGGGGGTACAGGGGAAGGGGATGGAAAGTGACTGGACGGCCACCCCCCCACCCCCCTTTCGAACCAACACCCTCCACAGGTCCCTCAGGGCATCCTCAGTACAGAGGCGGAGGGCTGCTGTCCCTGGATTTGGACTTGGATCGCAAGTCCGCGAAGACAGTCCAGCCAGTCCTCACAGCTGTCAGGGCCATCCCTCTCCAACAATGGCCATGCCCACTCAGTCCTGCCTGGGGAAGGAAAGGACGACCTGTCAGGAGCCCAGCCTCCCAGGACTCGTGCCCTGCTCTTCCCTGAGTCATGAGGCAAGGGACTCCAAGGCGACAGAAAGAGGACTGAGGGACTGAGGAGGAGTGCCGAGTGGGGGAAGGGGTCCTTTGAGGGAGACCAGAGAGGGGAGCTCTGGGTGGCTCATGGCGGTTGGCGCCGTCCCGACTTCAGCTCAGGTCGGGTCTCTGTTTTCGGGTTCGAGCCTCAGATCGGGCTTCCTGTGCTGACAGCTAGGAGCCTGAGCCTTGATTCTGGGCTCCCTTCTCTGTGCTCCCCTCACCTGTTCACACTCTGTCCTCTCCTCTCACAAAATAAATAAATAAAAAAAAGCATCTTCTGAAGGCAAATTTAAAAAATAATAAATACAACATAAAGGGAGACCAGAGAGCCACAGGCGTGGGGAAGGAGATAATTGGGTGAAGAGGTGCAGCAGAGGTGCCCTGGGAGGACAGGACGCACCCAAGGGGGCCAGGAGACAGGCAAGCAGGGGAGCGGAGCAGGGGCAAGTGGAAGGTTCACCTTTCTTCATGGTTGTCAATAAGCTGTCACCAGTTCCTGGTCCTGGTTGTTCTGGGGTGTCTACAGCCCCCGAGACACATACCTCTTTAGTGCCTCAACTTTCTGCTGCCAGGGAAAACACAGACACACCCCCCCCCAGTTCTCCAGCCTCTTCCAGCCCCCCTCGAGGGGACCTCGGCACCTTGCCCCGAGGCTCCTCCTCCCTTACCCCCACCTTCCTCCCTCCTCCTCTGCCCCCACCCAACGAGTAGAGCCACAACAACCCAACCGTGTGGGGTGATAAGCCCGGGGAGATAACCACCAAGGGGCTGCACTCCCCAATCCCGAGTGTCACCCACACCCTTGGCACCTGATTCTGTCCTCGCCTTCCCCTCGGGCCAGGACTCGCCGCTTGCACCTCTGTGCATCTCCGACACCCCCCCCCCTGCCCGCTGGTTCTGTCCTGCCTCCTCCTGGACGGCCAGGGCTCCCACCCCAATGATGGGAAATGGGGTGACACCAACGGGAGAGCATGCGCTTTACCTTTTGAGCCGTAGTCCCACGCCAGGTAGAAAAACATAATCCCGCTGTTCCTCTTGCTCCTGCTGAGCAGCAGCTCTGGGAGGGTGGTGGCGGGCAGAGGGCAGAACCCGCCGGCTCTCTCCTCCTAGCTCGCCTGTCCCAGAGACTCCCTCCACCTCCTCCTCCTGTACACACCCGGGACAAGTCACTGCATGAGCTATCAGCTCAGCTCGGGCTTCTTGCTTCCCCAGTCAGGGCCTGGCACAAACCCAGGCTGCCAAATACCCCGCGCTGATGACACTGGTTTCACGACTATATACAGTCAGCTCTAGTTCATCTAAGTGAACTGGAAGGAAACCAGGCACTGGAGAAGCAAAGTACCGCCTGGTTCTCACTAGCTGTTTGCTGCCCAGATTGGGGTTAAAATAAATTTGCACTCCCCCCTCTTTAAAAAATCAGCTCAAAACTCCCCTTCAATTAGCATTCTCTGAATGACCCCTGCCTGACTCTATCTTAATTCAGTGACTTCGCAGAGGCTTCTGTACACAGCTTTAAGTGCAGCTTTGAGTGTCATAAATCTTCCCCAGTGCCCGTACTTTCTCCTCAGCTAGAAATGGCAACGCTCAGCGACATCTTCTACAGGTATGCCCTGCAGTAAAGGAAGCCTGAGAAATCCGAATTAGCAACTTAGGCAGATGCAGGTGTGGTTATTTGCATTTAAAAAGATTCTTATTGCTACTCTGGGTGGCTCATGGTTGTGTTAACGTCCGACTGCCAGGTCCATCTCACGGTTGCAGGAAGTTCGAGCCCTCGCTGGCCGGGCTCTGGGCTGCCACGGCTCAGGAGCCTGGAGCTAGCTCCCATTCTGTGTCTCTCTCTCCCTCTGCCCCCCTCCCTGCTTCATGTTTGTCTCTCTCTGTCCCAAAAATAAATAAACGTTAAAAAGTTTCTTATTTTTATAGATTCACAATAGCCATCCTTCGCTAGTGTACTGTTTGCTTCCACGTGAATACTTGGCCAAGAGAAAGCGGGTACAGGGTACAGAGAAATCTGAAGGTCAAGTATGGCCTGTGACAAAACAGTGACCTATCGAAAACCAACGGGAGACAGGATTCCAATCAAAAAAGCATCATCTGCTCGCAGGTTTGCACTAATCCCATGCCACCCTCACGAAAGGTTTTCAACTGCTGCTGAGTAAGCAACATGGTGGGGCCAAAGAGCAAGGGCCTGGGACACACAAGACAGGAGCTTCTAGTCCTAATTCAGCCATTAATTCATCAGCTGTGTCACCTCAGACAAGTCACCCTCCTTCTGTCAGACTGCCAGATCACTGAGTCCTGGGGGGAGTGACACGCCATGGTTCTGTCTGGCTAAACAGTGATGACGCCACAAGCAAACTGGGCGAAGCCAGGCCAGGGTGCAGCCCTCTGTTGCAGTGCGTTTACTGGCAAATAACTGTGAGGTGACAGCTACAGGGTCCCATGTCGACACAGGATCCCAGCACTTGAGATGGAGGGAGGGAAGGAGGCCACGGTGGTTGGGAAGGGCAGGACGGACCCAAAGGCCACTGGGAAGGGAAGGGTCGGGTAGCCTAGCACCTCACCCTCCAGTAGTGCGATGCCTTTGCGGATGTCATCATTGTACTTGCTTCGCACCAGGCACCAGGCGTACTCAAACTGCGTGCTCTTGGACACGGAGCCTCCTGCCTTCTCAGACTGAAATTTCTTTTCAAACTTCTGCCACAAGAGAGGAGAGGAGTCATTTAGAAAGGAAGGGACGAACCATTCTCTACCAGGACCTGGGTGTCCATTTCCCAGCTACACTCCATCTTCCCCAGTCTCTGTCACGTCTCCCTCGCGGGCCTTGGCATCTGGCATCCCGGCTTCCGCCATCTCCATCCCTGGGATCCAGGTACTCTGCTTCTTGGCAGCAGGGTGTCTCCCCCCACACTACCCCTGTCCACTTCCCTCCCCCTAGTGGTACCGAGCGGAGATGCCACCTGGTGGCGGCTCCAGGCACCGCCGGCGAAGCAGCTGACCCCGAGCGGCTGGCCGAACAGTAAACACGCTGTCCGAACAGCTCAACAACAGCCCACGCCGTCCCTCGTCGGTGGCTGCTTCCCCCAACCAGCCCCACCCGGCTGGGTCTGGGCCTTTTCTTATCTGCTAAGTGGGAATAAGAGTAGTGCCCACTTCCTAGAGCTACAAGGATTGAGATATCGCCGGCAATGCACTTGGCACCGTGCCGGTTTCGGTGAGTAACATATGAAACTTCATGCTAGTCGCTATATTCCCCTGTCACCGAAGGAACACTCAAACACAGGTGTCCGCACCCTGACCTCCTAACTCCTGCACGCACTCAGAACTGGTCAGTCTTTCCACGCCAGACTCCAGGCCCCGAGTCTGGGGCGTGGTGGTGCAGGAAACTACAAGTCCCATTGGCCTCCGGGACAAAGAAGAGCCTCTGGGCAGGAGCCGGACGCTGCAGAGGGTGCCGGGAGCCGTAGTTCGGCCTCCCTAGGAGAGCCTGGCGCTGGGTAGAGGGTCTGGCCCCACTCGGACTCTCCTCAGGACCCGCCCGTCCTAATGTTCCCTCTCCCTCCCTCGGGGCCAGGCCTCACCAGCAGGTCGTCCACAGACACCAGCTCGTTCAGTACGGCCTCCATGGCCGCCGCCCCTGCAATCCTTACACCTAGGTCGCTACTGTGCCACCGTCTCCATGGCCCACTGGTAGGGCCGGAGGGCCGCTTCCGTCGTCCGGCGGAAGCGAGCCCTCCCCACGCAGAGCCAATCACCTCATGTTGCTGATGCCGAGCCCGCCCCGCCGCCGGGGGACGCCCCGCCCCTTCCTTCCGGCGCCCTCGGCGCACGGGTCGGGGCACTAATGCGCAAGCTCCGCCCGACCCCCTTCCCTCTCCACCTGCGGACGGCTCACGCTGCAACTCCGAGTCCCCCGCTCGTCCTCCCGAGTTCCCTGTATGTGCCTTCCTTCACCGAGGCTGCCTTAATAAAGTTTGGAACTGTGTCTTCTAGCTGGCCCTTGGGCTCAGAAACAGCAGAAAGAAGAAGTTGGAGGACCCGGCTTGATCTAAACCTTCCTCCCCTCCGGCCCCACCGCCTCTAGGCCTAGGAACCCGGAGGCTATGTGACATTTCGGTGCCTGTAACAAAATCATAACTGGTCCCAAGGTTTTTAGGGCCTCTGCTGACCCTTACAAGAGGACTGACAACTGGACCTGTTAACATACACCCAGAAACCGCAGTGCATACGCATAGGGGATAATACGGAAATCTTTAAATGGGAATTCAAAGTTGTTACCCCATTACTTGCAGACAGGGTCCAATCTTTTAACACTTAGATAAAGCATCCTCCGGGTGTGCCTGAGAGGGAGCATCGGCCGTGGGTCACGCGGGCAGCGAGGAACAATCAAAACATGGGAAAGGTAAATGTGCACTCCTCTGGTTCCTGTGCTGTGCAGTGATGGGACTGGGTAGGTAGTGACTTTCGAATTCTTTTCACCTTGACCCACAGTGCTCCAGTGCACATTACAATGTAAGTTCCATGAGGGCACAGATAGGCTCTTGTTCATTTGTGCGTCTCCAGCACCTGACACAAGATCAATGTCCAATGAATATGTGTTAAATATACATGAAATGAAGCGAACAAAAGGAAATAGGGCAGTGCAGATGCAGGAGATTATCATCCAAACATCTTTCGTGTTTGCAAAGCTCTTTTAATTTTTTTTTTTTTTAATTCTCATAGTAGCCTTGTGAGTTAGGTAGGCAAGAATTACTCTTCTCTATTGAGCTCAGACAGTTGAAATGACTGATATGAGGAGTCCCATTAAAAGATAAAGGAGAGGGTAGAACAAGTTCATAAGTACACTCTAGCTATTCATCTTTAAAAACCTCAGGCCTAAATTTGTAATTTTTTGCTGGTTTACAATAGAGGACTCCCCTTAAGCAGCAGGGTGAACTAGAGAGAAACAATTGGCTTTAACTTAAAATCTAAAAGGCAAGGCAATCCTGAGAAACCATTTGTTAGATAGTACAGTAGGAAAATTAAAAATAAAACCCCGCGAACTACCACCAGTGCTGCTGAAATTATAATACTGGTTTCACTGTCTTGGCTAGCGGCCAGTATTTTTAATTCACACTATTTGTCTGTTGGCAATCACACACTTGTGTGATAACCTGATGAATGCCACCCTCCCATTAGAGGCTGGAAGCTACACGACAGCAGGGTCTGTGTCTATATTGCCCATATTATACCCCTAGAGCTCAGCTCAGTGCCTACCACTAGTAGATACTCAATTTGTAATTGTTGTGTAAATAAATACTGCAGTCGCCATCATTAACTTTTTGGAAAGCAACGAGGGAGTATGTAGTAAAAGCTACAAGATGTAATATTACTTAACTGGTAATCTGTGAAATGGTCAACAAAAGCAAAAAAAAAAAAAAAAAAAAAAAAAAAAAAAAAAAAAAAAAAAAAAGGAAAAAGGAAAAGGAAGCCATGAAGATATTCATTCCTGCATTATCTTTGGAGGTAAACAGACAACAAAAGCTCCAGGGAATTGTTTTATTAAATGATGACACATCGATATAACAAAATAACACACAGCTTGAAAGTCAGAGTCATCTGGACTCTTTGGATGTGGATGGTAATATTCAAAACAAAACGAAAAAGTATGCACTTCTCTAATTTGGTCCTGTAAGTGGTCAGAAAGGAAGCTGACATTTTTTGTTGTTGTTAGTGGGACTAAAACCTAGAGTTGGTACTTGTTAGCACACTCTGGGCCCTGGGCCCCTCCCTTGACTACAGTATTAGTTGCAAGCCTGCTCTGGTCTTTTGCCCTACAGCTTCTTGTTAGTGGGCAGCCCACGAAAAGAGCTCAGCAAACACCCACTAAACAGGATTCCACTATTTGTGTTCCTCGCGTCTCCTGTGATCGCTCACCTACACTTCCCACTTTCCTCTGCTATCCAATCAGAGAGTCCTATCCACCGCAAGCTCCTCCATCCATCCATCCATCCATCCATCCATCCATCCATCCAACAAACAGTAGTTTGAGGCCTACGTGTGCCAGGCACTCTTCTGAGTGCTGGGCAAGAGAAATGAACTAAACAGACACAGTCCTTCTCTCACACGAGTTCCATCTCCATGGAAGAGACAAGACTGCTAACGAATAAATGAATTATCAGCCCACCTCCGCCTCCATTCTGTCACCATACTTCATACATACTTCAGATTTTTTCCTCCTCCAACCCAGCCTGGCTGCCAGTAGTACTTTAAAGTGCAAATCAGGGCTGAGTAAAACGCCGTCTGGGCTACGCAGAACATTGTGCAAATGTCTTATCACGCACGTGAAGCCCGTCAGGGTCGCCCCTGCTTACCTTTCCAGCTTTATCTCCTGGCACCCACCCGTCCTGCACGCCGAGACGTTTTCCTGGCAGCCACCTTTCTTCCACCCGGAATGCTCTCCGTTCACCAAACACCGGAGTGCCAACAGGGCAGGCGACTGCCAGCCCCAGGGCCGTCACGCCTCCCGGACAGCTTTCTTCTATCCGGTCCCCGCGCCTCCAGCTCCTCGGAGGTATAGCGTTTACCACCCAGCCCTTCAGTCCTTGATGTGGACAGGGACTGGGTCTCGTTCATTTCTCTGTCAAAGGCCAGGCACCCAAGCATCGTTCGTGGGGTGAATGAAAGAGTAACCACTGGCGCTGAGAACTACGGAGACATTTGCACTTCCGGGTGGCGGTTAAATTGGCTCCCGAGGAAGGGAGGAGAGGATGCCTTCTCCGGGGCTACTCTAGGAAGAGGGCTCGGTGGTCCCGGAGGACCCGCGGAGCCGCAGGGAGAACTTCTGCGCAGTCGCCGCCTCCTCGGGGAGGCGGGGCCGAGCCGAGCCCGGCGGGGGGGCGGGGCGGGACGCCGATGGCCAATTAACGGGCTCGGCTCCGAGAGAGAGGCGGAGCGTGGCGCGATTTGCAGGCGGGGTGGTGGGCGCCAAGGCCTGGGACTTTGGAAGCTCTTCCCCTGGCTCTGTGACCCCGGGGTGACCGAAGTGCTCCCTGTTAACTGTTGCCCCAGAGATTTTTCTCTGTAAACTAAAATTTACGTGTTGTCTCCTTTAGAGTCTGTCTCGGTTCAAAAGTGTGTGATGGGTACACACGACGTGCACACACAAACCCGACGTGCACACGAATCGCCTGGAATCTTGTTAAAAATGCAGTCTGATTCAGTAGGGTAGGATGAAGCCCAAGGTGTTGCATTTCTAAGAAGCTCCCACAGGAGGCTGATGCTGTAGATTTTCTAAGACGCTTTCAGGAGCAAAAGTGTGAAACTTTGTCAAAGTGCAGTCTCTGGACCATCCGCATGGGCATCACCTGGGAATTCTTTAGAAATGCAGATAATTGGGGCGCCTGGGGGCGCTCAATGGCTTAAACCTCCTGCTTCAGCAGTGAGGTCGTGCTCTCACAGTTAGTGGTTTCAAGCTCTGCTTCCGGCTTTCTGCTCTCAGCACAGAGCCCGCTTTAGATCCTCTCTCTTTCTGCCCGCTTCCATTTGTTTGCTTTCTCTCTCAAAAATAAACGCTA